GTTGGAAAAAGAAATCCAAACAATCAGTATTCCTGAGACAAAAGTGTAACCTTGTTATTGTTCCATCGATATGCGTAAATGAAAGTGTGTTGTAGATACAAATATATACAGGGTGTTCCATTTGAAATTATCTCTTAAACTGTTCATTTTTTAAAAGAATGTTTCAAATGAAAATTATTTTCTTTACGGTCGCAAATTAAATCTTATCTTAAATCTTGATGGATGAAATTTCAAGGTGAATTTCGTCTATTATTAATGAAATCGTATGTGTTCAGATAGATGAAATCAATGATTTGTAAGTCTTGACATGTTTGAAGTCATTCAAGGTGATATTGATATTGAAAACTTCGTTCTTTTAAATTTCTTTAGATTTCGTTTATCTGAATATTTCATCGATTCTATTGTAAACATAAATTGAAATTAATGATCATCACGAGAAACAAAGCAATTTTTGATTTGAAATATTTTTTTTTCAAAAAATGAATTTTAATTTAGGAGGAAATAATGGAACGCTATTGTATATTTACAATTTTATTTCAAATTATAAGTAGAGTGTAAAGACTTTGATATTTTTGATTCCTATTAATGCTCGAAATTGAATAAGTTATTTTTTTCTCTCTTTGTTATTCGTATGATTTCGAATTAAGAACAAGCTTAATTATTAATTATTAATTAAAAGAAAAATTGTAAATAATTGAAAAAAATGAAATTACAGATCCATCTATCTATTTTTTTTTCTAATTATATACAATTTCTCGATTGTGTAAATTTGATTTTATTATCGAGAAATGTAGAATGGTTATAATTTTCGTTGCAAAAGTGTCTTCCAATTTAGAGGAAACGTAACATGACAAATAGTTGTTAAATGAGTGAACTGCTCGATTCCTTTTTCCCAAGGAAGATACTTGTGAAAAAATCTTTCGAATTAAATATTTATTACACGAAGCATTGATCGTTAGAAAAGTAGCCAAAATAATTGTTGTTATCAATGTCACATGAGAAAAAATTATATTATTCTGATATTTAAGAGAAAAAATGCAGAAAATGTTGGACTTTGTATATTAACAAAAATATCGTCACGATTTAAATATTTTGCACTTAAAAACGAATTTTATTTACATCATTAAATATTAAAAGAATCTGTTTTATTCTTCAAACGTAATAATTGAATTATTTGTTTTTTTTGTTTTTTGAATACATTCAAATTTTGAATAGATTTAAATTTAAATCATATATAGTTATAATTTTTTAATTTTTATTAATAATCACAACAATTATCATATATCAATTAATTTTATAGAAATTGAAATGTAAAATTTAATGATAAAATTACAAATATATTATAATAAATATATACTTTGATTATTTATTTTGACTATTTATGATCTCAAACAAGATTTTCGTGCAATAAAATAATATTGAATAAAATTAATAATAAAAAAATGATGCAAGAAAAAGTAATTTTTAAATTTTAATTTCTTTGTATACGCGAATAGAGTTAATTTTTTTTTTCAAACAATCAACGAAACAATTATTAAAATAGTTTTTTATAATAATCGTGACAATTTTCCTGTTGATATACACAATTTATACTTGTATTTTAAACACAATTGAAATCGAAACAAATAATATCTATAACACAAAGCTTTATCGATTCATCAATGGATAAAATTGTTTGATTTCTCTTGAAACTCATTTGAATAAACTATTTTACGTCCATAAGATGCGTATCAACGTCGACTGTATACCAATGAAAGAACAGCTTTTGTCGCGACAGTATTGTTCGAGAAGAACTTATCGATGCCGCTATTTTAGATCTCATCACCATTTTAGATTTAGTCGCAATCAAAGTGTCAAAGAATGGATCTGAACATTGGCAAATGTTTTCGTCGTCTAATCTTGTAAGCTGTAGCTTCTGAAATCTCGCCTTTGGAAATAATAATTAAATAACAATTTAAAATTTAAACAATTTATCTCTTATAAGTTTGCCAGAAAAGAAAAAAAAATCATGAATAAAATTTTGGATACTTATAATAATGATGAATTATTTGAATTAATTATTGTCGAAACGATGGCTCGAACGAGAATTCGTTTAAGAAGAATTACAATTGATAATTAACTTGTGAAAGGATAGATTCAAATTATGAAAATATACGAAACAAACGTGTAATTCTGTTCAATTTGAAACAAATTGAAATAAAGATTGAGAAACTTTTTGGAAAAGGATATAAACAAAAATTTTATTCGATATCACATAGTTATTTTCAAAATGTTACAATTAATTTTCTAATTGTACTGAGATTTTTGGTTAATATAATAAATTTTATAAAAAAATTTTTTGTAAATGATAATATTCAAATCTGAATTTCTTCTTTAATTTCTTCTATTCCATGAAATAAAATTTATAATCTCAAATTATAGAGTTTTGATCTCAAAAATTTATTTCTATATTCTTTATTTTTATATAACATTTTCTTGCATTATCAAAATTGTTTAAAATGTTTTATAGTAAAATATTTTAATATATGAAATTATAGAATATTTTGATCATTAAGATATTAAAAAT